TTACTAAAGATTGAGCTAAATCTTGCTGCTACTCAATTGATTACGTGTTTCAGTCCGCCTAATCAATAGTTGGGTAATAATATAATCATAGTAAATATAAAGGGTGAAAATACATTTGTCGTTATTGTCTTTATATATACTCTTTAAAGATAAGATATAATGAACATTTGCCAAAATGCAAGGTTTAAATAATACCTCTAACGATCACAAATGCCGGTGAAGAATAGGAGTGTCAAAGCTTTCTATAATCATAAATGCATGCAACTAAATCCATATCGAATAATCTGGAATCTTAAAATGCTAACTGAAAAGCTGATTCTAGAAGAAAAAACAAAGTTAACTTCTACTGAAAGGATGCAGAAATATAAACCATGTACTGTAAGTACTGCTATGCAGTTATTCATATTGTTACCGGCTAAAAATTCAATATTGAAAAGTTGATCTACAAAGAATTATTACAGAAGTTACTGAAATTAATTTTATGTCAATCACAAATTAGAAGATCTGCATAATTCTGGATTTTGATGATTCTTAGGATCCACAGGAATCTGGGGATTCGTAGGATTCTTAGGATTTACTGGATACTTCAGATTATCATAATTCGTTAAATTTTCCTAATTTTCTGTATTTCCATTATTCCAATTATTATCGTTATTTTTCTTATTTTTATTATTTTTATTATACTTATTATTATTTTTATAATTATTATTCTTCTTATAATTATTTGTAGTTACAAATTTAGTTAGTTTATAGCATAGCAATTAGTTAGTCTTAGCAAATTAATTTTGTATAAATAGAATAGCTTTTTGCTCATGTTGTAAAATAACTCTCTTATAAGTTCTAAAATATTCGTAAGTTTCAAGTAATAAATAAAGGAATCAACTTTTAAAACAAAAATACTTTTCCCTTCTACGTGTCTATCATCTAGGATTTGATCGTGAACCACTATACTAACTTGCGATTGAGTTCGTCACTTAGAATAAATAAATGCTCTACATTTTCTTAAGTCCCTAAATCCTTAAGTTTGTAAACCAAGTGAAGTAATTCCAAGGAATTCTGGATACCTGTAGGACGTGAGATTCCCTAAGGTTGTAAAGTCTAATATTAAGGAAGTTACTTGCCACAGTAAAGGAACTTAGACAAATTACGTAAAGTAATTAGAGAAGATTATTCCCAGTGACAATATGGATAGTTCACTTAACCATGAAATTGTAAGTTATGATTTATATAGAGGACCTGATGCACTAGAAAGATTTGTCTTCAAAATCAAAGATGAACTCCTAGATATCCAAGAAGATTTATTTGCATTAGCTGAAATGATAATGGCACTAGGAGACTTGAAGATGTACAATAAAGTGATCAAATGCTAGATTTGCAAGAAATATTTTCTCAAACCATCATTAGAAGCATTGCAAAAATTCGAAGAAGTAAAGTACAGATTGCTAGAAGTAAATGAGTGAAAAGTAAGTATGAAAGAAGAACATTCTGAAAAGAAAGAGGCGTAGAAAAGATACTGAGAAGCCTTAAGTGTACTCAATCGAAAAGTAAAGAATAATGATCATATAAGTAAAAACTACCGAGGTTTAACTTATGACTCTTATAATAAAAGTTAAGCATAGATTCTTTTGAAACTAAAGTGCTAATTATTTATCATAATTTCTGGGGGTATGACTCTTATCTACTTATGAAAGTTGTAAGCAAGTTCATAGCTAATAAGCTAAATTGTATCCCAGAGAATATAGTAAAGTACAAAGCCATAGACATAGAACAGCTTCAGTTCTTAGATAGCTTTCAACATATGGAAATAAAACTAGATAAATTAGTTGAATGCCTAGATAAAAAATCGAAAAATTCACTCTAACTGTTAACTATTTTACTGAGAAAGACTATTCAATAGATAAGATTAACTTCTTTTTCAAAAAGGTATCTTTTTATATGACTGAACAAATGCATTGGAAAAATTCAACAAAATAAGCTTCCCATCTAGAACTTCTTAGTCAGTAAAATACAGTCATACCTCTCTATAGCGAATTTTAATATAACGAATTTTTTGGACAACTATATTAAATTTACCCTCGTTATAACGAACTAGCCAATCAAATTCTTTAAAAAGTTCACTATAGCTCTATAACGAAGTTGAAGTTCAGGACATAAAATTCGTTATATCAAGGGTTGACTGTTTTAGTAAAGAGGATTATGAATATGCTAAAAAGATATAGCAAGTATTCGAGATAAAGAACTTTGAAGAATATTATGATCTTTATCTTGAGACTGATGTACTTTTACTTGCAGATGTTTTTATGAACTACACTATCATGTGTTTGAAGACAATGGCTTAGATCCTTCTCATTATATTTCAGCACCTGAAATATTTAATGATTCTCTTTACAAAAGTAGCGGGGTAGAACTCAAGCTCATGACAAATATAGATGAATATTTAATAGTAGAAAATGGCATTCATGAAGCATGACAATAGCAAGTCATTGATATACTAAAACAAATAATCTGTAATGTCTAGACTATGAGTCCAGCAAGTTGAATTCCTAAATCATATATGAGAATATGAATACTTTATATTCAGATATAATGACCTAATACATGCTTACAGAAATTTTAAATAAAGTTGCATCAGAAAAAATATCAGATATCCAAAGTATAGTGTCAGATGCAAAAATAGGCTATATACTAGAAATTGATTTAGAAGTCCTAGTGTACTTGCATGATCTCTTTGCAGATTATCCATTAGTACCTGAAAAGCAAATAGTTCCAGAAGACTAGCTTAACTTGTATAATGAAAAATTAGTTCATGATAAAGAAGTTAGAGGTGGAAAATACATGTCTGAAGAGAAGTTAGTTCAGATTCTTTTTACTAAAAAAAATTATGTAGTTCACTATCAAGCTCTTCAGATATATATGAAGTTTGAAATGAAGGTTACAAAGATTCATAGCACTCTCAAGTTTAGGCAATCTTCATGAATGAAGGAATATATTGAGGAAAATATTCATAAACGCAAAATAGCCAAGGCAGATAGGAAAGAATTTGTAGTTATATATTATAAGCTAAAGAACAATGCGGTATTTAGTAAACAGATAGAAAATATCTGTAAATATATGAAAGTAAAATTGCTTTGAATAGAAAAGGATAAAAAAATCAGTTGTCTAGCAAGTTCACTATTGTATGTAAGCTTTAAAGCATTTAAAGGAGAATTACAGCAGTTTATATATTAAAAAGTACAGTAATTCTAAATAAACTAATCTTTATATGGATACAGACTCACTCATCATATGAATAGAAATTAAAGACATATATAAAGATTGAGCAGATAGATCAGATATTTTTAATCTTAACTATTTAGAAGACTTATTTCTAATGAAGAATGAGACAAAGGAAAACCCAATAGACAAATCAGCATGTTTAAAGTCAAAATATATTTAGTACTTCTAGCAGGTCATGATCCTAAAACTCCCGATGATCCAGATTCTGAAAATTCTAAAAAGAAGTATGGCATCCAAAAGGCAAAGGGTATAAAGAAATGTGTAGTCAAAAGGGAGCTTCAACATGATAAATTTCTAGAATATCTTAAGACTAGGAAGCTAATCCAACATAATATGTATGGACTCCACAGTTATGATCATCAAATATATCTGGAGAGGTAAATAAGGTAGGGTTGAATCAATATGATAACAAGCGCTAGATCTTACTTGATAGAATTTGAATACTCCCTATGGACATTAGCAAATTGGATTATATAAACATCTACAGAGGGTGGACAAAAGTATCCGCACACTTTTTCACTCAATATAAAACTTCAAATAATTTTGCATTAACAATAAAAGGTTAATTAATATTTTATTTAAAGCTGATTAAGATCTAAATTTTGTACTAAGTAACTAGTACTTAGTTGGGCCA